CATACAGACCTGATTTGTTCTTTCAGCAGCAATAGGTGATTGAGTCTCTGGATCATGTTGACATAGTTCCTTCTAAAATAAAGTTTATTAAACAATCCCAGAATAATCATAAGGAATTTATATGCCCAAAGGGACTACATGATATCAAAAAGAAAAAAGCTATCCTTTATCCAATGGAATAAGTTCCATGTGGGGAAGAAAGTACAGTCAAATCTGAATATCCTGCCAGTTACATCAAATAAAGAACATTTTTCCTCAATATATGTTATTGTTTAAATTAGAAACATGAATGCTTCACATGTCAATCCCAGCTCCCTCTCCCACCACTCCTCCCTTGTTCCTCCACCAGCACCCCAAACCCCCACCCAATCCCCACATCATTCCCCAGGGAGGGTGAGGCCCTCCTTGGAGGAATCTCTAAAGTCTGTCATTTCATCCAGGGCAGGACCTAGCCCTTCCCCAAGTGTCCAGGCTGAGAGAGCATCCTTCTATTTGGAATGGGCTCCCAAAGATCACTCATACACCATGGTAAACACTGATCTACTACCCAAGGCCCCAGTGATTTCTGTGGCCTCCTCACTGGCAATATATTCATGGAGTCTAGATCAGTCCCCTGTTGGCCTCAAATAAAGAGCATTTTTTAAGCTTGTTAACTGTAGGTGTAGGCAGGAGTGTCTGCTTTGAGCACAGCTGATATTAATAATCTCTGTGTCCTCCCGGGGTCTCAGTATCCCTAGTAATCTCATACTCCATTGACTGTACTTGTGGCATGTTAAATAAAGATCAGTGGAAATGGCACTAGTGGCTTCCTAGCTTTTCCTGGCCAGATATTGTTAGGTTCATTATATACAGGGTACCCGAGTCAAAAAGTTGTCTCTGTTTGAGGGTTAGACTGGAGGTCAGTGACATGATTACTTGTCCTGAAATCAGTTTTAACTCCAGTAGCATAGTATATAGAGCCAGGTAGCGAGGTTCTATAAAACAAAAAGTGAGTTGTAGAAATGACTGTGAGGTTGAAGGCCTTCATGGAGCATGAAATTCAGGCTTGTCTGTGAGTTGCTTTGTAAATACATAAGGGGTCAGTTCTGACATTTTTTTAGCTCCCAGGGCAGAACATGGGTAGACACAAAGGTTTTGCCCCCAGGTGAGACGGTGTGTTCTCCTGGATAGTAGATAGACTCTGTATTAATCTAAATATTCCATAAGAAAGAATCGATGGATACAACAAATCCCACCTGAAGTTTCCAAGGCAATGGGGTGCTTTGTTTTTCCTTTTTTGGGTGTTTTTTTTAAGCTGGGACTATATTATACATTTAGTAAATGTATTTTGCAGAATCCATGCTCAGACTAAGAGGTTTGCCCTGGGTACAACAGAGACTTGTAGATTGCAGTTTTTGTTCCAAACCCTGTAGAAAAGGGCTGAGAATTTTGAGAGATCTGGTTGGTTTCAGCTAGTCTCTTCAAAGGAAATTTCAGCTGTGTATTTTTTAGTATCTGCCAATGATGGCTTTAATACATTTAGTTACAGATGATGGCCTGTAATCAGTTTGTGTTTAGTAGCTAGTCTATCAGACAAGGCATTATCAGTCAGTGGTTTTAATTAAGATTTCTGATGCCTGCTATATCTGCATCAATGTCAGAAGGAACAGAAGATGCTGTGCCGCCGGACGTTGGTGGCGCACGCCTTTAATCCCAGCACTCGGGAGGCAGAGGCAGGTGGATCTCTGTGAGTTCGAGGCCAGCCTGGTCTACAGAGCGAGTTCCAGGACAGCCTCCAAAGCCACAGAGAAACCCTGTCTCGAAAAAAAAAATGCTGTGCCAACTCCAACTAAGGAGCTAACCAACAGAGCTCCTGCGGTCATCAATTTGTAAGGTTTCCTAGCAGTAAACCTATTTCCTGAGGAGCAGGGAGAGACTGGTATTCTCCTAAGTTCAGTCTCAGGGCAGAGTTCTTCAGATGGGAGCCATGATTTGAGGTAAGTGATATCTTCTGGCTCCTACGTGTAATTATTTAAGCCTTGCATGTAGATTAAGGTCAGGCATCTGGTAACTATTGATGGGGAAATAGGGGTGTTGACAAATGCTGCCCTCTAGTGGGCTCTGAAGAATTGGTTGTTGTCATCCCATCCTCCTCTCTCAATAATGAATGAACGGTATTAGGCTACTTTCTTTGATTTTACAGGATTTCCATGTTATGGGGAGGACATGTCCCTCATCAAATTGGGAAATCCCAGGTTGTTGCTCTATCCCTGAGTTATTAGCTTCCTCTAAGGGAGAAGCTCTATTCAATCTATGTCTAGTATTTAGGTCAGCATGCAATTGCAATAGTCTTTTCAAGGGGTATATTTGAGTTGTACTAACTTGGGTTTAAGCAGTCCATTCCATCCTTCTGTATTGCCAGCTACAGAGCATGGGGCTTTTCTAGAATAAATATGAGTAGCTGTGTGGTCAGAAAAATAACAGTTTAAGGGTCACATTGTGTTAGTTTTATGGTAATTGTGAAATTTATTTATTCAATGTTTGGACACATAGAATCAGGTAGTTGGCTAACACTGGTCAAGTTCACACTTTTCTTGGCAGAGTTTCCTTAGGTCTTTTGATTAAAACTGTGAACTTATCTACCTCAAATACCAGCTATAGCAATCTTGAGAACATACCTGAAAGATGTTCCCCTTACCACGAGAACACTTGCTCAGCTAAGGTCATAGCAGCTTTAGTCATAATAGCTAGAAACTCGGAAACAACCTTAATGTCCCCCAACTGAAGAATAGATCAAGAAAATGTGGTTTGTTTACACACACAATGAAATATTACTCAACTGTTTATAAAAATGACATGAAATTTGCAGTTGATGGATGGATCTAGGAAAAAAATTATCCTGAGAGGCAAACATGATATTTACTCACTAGTAAGTGAATATTAGCTATAAATGTTCATCATACTACAGTCCCTAGACACAGAGAGACTAAATAGCAAAGGGGATTTAGGGTTGGGTGTGCATGGACAGACTACATTTTCGTCATATGATGACCATAAGCCTATAGTGACGTGGGCCAGAATGTGATTTATTGAATTAAAACTTCCAATATATATATGAACACTTGAGTCTCATTGGCTGCTTTCTTTGTGTTCCTTATTGGAATCTTTAGTAGGAGGAATCTTTCTAGAGGAAGTTCCTCATTGGGGATGTGACTTGAGGGCCTATAGCCTTAAGTGTTTTGTGGTTGAAGTTAGTCAGCCAGCTCCTTCTCATGACGTCATTATTCATCACCAGTGTAGACTATCCATAAATAACGTATAGTAGAAGAAAGTACTGTTCCTCCCTCAGGCATTTGGTTGTCTATTCTTATTTATTTATTTTGTTGTTTTGTTTCCAAAGACAGTGTTTCTCTGTATGACACTGGGTGACCTGAAAACAGTTCTTGAGACCAGGCTGGCCTTACAATCAGAGATGTGTGCATTCTGCTTTTCAGGAGCTGATAGTAAAGGCGTGGTTACCATGACCAGGTTCTTACGTTTTCTCTTACTGGCGGGGGGGACCTGGATGTAGGTTGTGCACATGTCAGACATGTGGTGTTGTGCTGAGCTCACCAATGACTTGAATTATTTTCTCCTGGGATGGCACATATTTATGACATTAATATTCTCCGGTTCTTGGGTCACTAGCATGCAGTTTGACATTCTTAGTATCTTGTGTATATTTTATTTTATTTTATTTTATTTTTTGGTTTTTTGAGACAGGGTTTCTCTGTGGCTTTGGAGGCTGTCCTGGAACTAGCTCTTATAGACCAGGCTGGCCTCGAACTCACAGAGATCCGCCTGCCTCTGCCTCCCGAGTGCTGGGATTAAAGGCGTGCGCCACCAACGCCCGGCCTATCTTGTGTATATTTTAAATGTTTTGAACAAATGTATTTTGGTCTGCATGGATATGGATCATATGTGTGCCTGCTGAACCCAATAGTCAGAATATGATTCCAGAAACCCTGAATTTGGAGCTATGGGTAGTTGTAAACCCTCATATAAGTATTGGAAATTAAACCCATCTCCTCTACAAGATCAGAAAGTACTGTTCACCACTGAACCATCTGCCCTGCCCTGCTTTTTTCCTTTTAATTTTTTTCCATTTCCAATGATTACATTTTTATCTATTCATCCCTTTTAGTAAGATCATATTGATCTCACAGTTCAAAGTATGATGTTTCAGATTTCTGGAAAATGATTACAGATAGGGAATGAATGTTTATCTCTTAATAGGGCCTTCAGTGGCCTCCTCTTTTTCTTTATTGGCTGGTTGCTTGGCTTAGGTATGTGGCAGGGTGAGACAGGGTCCAAATATGTCTTGGAACTCATTTCATAGATCAGACGGGCGTATTCATTAAATGAGACTCGCATGCCTCTGCTTCTGAGTGTTAGGCTTGAAGATAGGAGACAATGTACCCTGTTTGCCATCTCTTTTGTGGTTAGTAATTGCTCATTCAATTACTACGCTATGTACGTAGTATTATTGATTTGTTTGCTTCTCTGTATGTCTGTTAATGGTCATTTCTCTTGAAAGGGCAAATTTCATTTAAAGAACATAAAATAACACATGTGAACATCTGTAGTGACATCTTGCCATGCCAGTGAACTGGTAGTGGGGGCCACAACTTTTGGGTGTGGTACCAGGTGCAAAAGGGACATATTGTAGGGTAGAGGAGGGGCAGGCTCAGGCTGTCTAGTTGTGGAGAACATCGGAAGAAGTGAGACCGCATGTTCTGGGCATGAAGAACACAGGACTCATTTACTCTCATCTGTGTGAGCCCTTCCCTAATAAGCACCTATTTATCATTTATCTTGGGTCTGGTGAACTTATTTAAACCCCACCTTCAAACCTCCTTTTCAGTTTCCTTCTAAAATGAATGGATGAGAACCTCTCTGTACTGGAATAAGTTGTGAAATACCAGAATTATGTGACTATAATGTCAAAGATGTCTACATTCATATTGTAATCAATATCACAGAATGAAGTGACCTATGATGATGTGCATATCAACTTCACTTCCAAGGAATGGGCTTTGCTGGATTCTTCCCAGAAGAGTCTCTACAAAGATGTGATGCTGGAGATTTATAGTCACCTTACTGATATAGGTAAGACTGAATTTCCCTTCAACATTTCAAATAAGAAGGCTACTGGTTCTTGCTCATTGGTCCTCTTCTGTAATTTTGAAAAAACTAAAGAATGTGGTGAAAAATGTCAGGCATGGTTCTTAGGGTCACTGAATATAATAACTTAAAGTTTGTATAATTTCCAGTAATATACCATGCATTTTCTGGTACCATATTTTAGGCTACAAATGGGAAGCCCATGACAGTGAAGACCATGGTCAACGATTTAGAAGACAGAGAAGGTAATTTCCTTGTGTAAACTAATACAGATGTCCCACAGAGGAATTTTAATGTGCCTTGGAAGTTTTAAGAAGAAGTAACAGTGCAAATAAGTACAGTTTTAAGTGTACTGATTATTAAATTCTCACAACACCATGTACCTCAATGTTAGGTAACTGATGTCTGTTAACAAGATTTCCAGAAGACAATGCATGAACAGATATATCCATTTTAATGATAACCCCATGGGGTCTGCAGTAGGTCTGTCAGTCCATTAGTTCCATACCACTGTGATATGGCAAAGACAAACCTGGTGATTAGGAGGTAAGTCCATGTCTACAGCCTTTTAATAAACAAGTAGTCCATAGTAAAGTTAGCGTGACTCAAATCCTTGTGATGAGTTGCCAAAGTATAGTTCCAATGGCAGTTCATTGTACTTAAAAAGAGTTGTTATGGAGAACAAAGATTAAATTGTGTGTGCATTATGGAAGCCCCTTTATTGGTATATTATGTCACTCTTGAAACTAGGCATGTATACTAAAGAATGTGGAAAGAATATCAACATTCCCCTCTCACATTCCCCTCTCCTAAAAAAAATTAGAAAATTTGTAATAGTCCCCAGTTGTAGTAGACTGTGCATGTAATGTGAGTTTACAATTCATTTTAATCTAACTTCATCTGTAATATATCAACTCATACCACCACAGAAAGTCCTGTGAACACAAAAACCAGAAATTCTTCTGTTTATCTTGGTTCACTTTGAAAATGTCGTGTGTCTTATCAACATAATGAATGTGGTATAGCATTGACATGTGCCAATTACCTTCACAGGCCTAAAAGAAGTCATACTGAAGAGAAACGCTACAAATGTACTCAATGTGGTAAAGCCTTTTCATATCGGCAGCGTCTCCTCATTCACAAAAGAACCCATACTGGAGAAAAACCCTATGAATGCAATCAATGTGGGAAAACCTTTTCACAACGGAGTCATCTCAACACTCATAAAAAAATTCATAGTGGAGTGAAACCTTTTCAGTGTAATCAATGTGAGAAAGCTTTTACACATCGAGGTTATCTTAAAAAACATGAAAGAACTCATACTGGAGTGAAACCCTATGTATGTAACCAATGTGGTAAATCCTTTTCAAAACCTTGTAGTCTCCAAATACATACAAGGAATCATACAGGAGAGAAACCCTATAAATGTAATCATTGTGAGAAAGCTTTTGCAGATTATACTTGTCTGAAAATACATAAAAGAATTCATACTGGAGAGAAACCCTATGAATGCAATCAATGTGGTAAGGCCTTTTCACAACAGAGTCATCTCACCATTCATAAAAGAAGCCATACTGGAGAAAAACCTTATGAATGTAAGCAATGTGGTAAAGCTTTTTCAAATTGCAGTACACTTAAAATACATGAAAGAATTCATACTGGAGAGAAACCCTATGAATGTAAGCAATGTGGAAGACTGTTTTCACATGACACTGCTTTCCGGGTACATAAAAGAACTCATACTGGTGAGAAACCCTATGAATGTACTGAATGTGGGAAAGCCTTTCGAAAACACAATGGTCTCCAAATGCATAAGAGAACTCACACACAAGAGAAACCTTATGAATGTAAGCAATGTGGTAATGCTTTTTCAAATTGCAGTACTCTTAAAATACATGAAAGAATTCATACTAGAGAGAAACCCTATGAATGTAATCAATGTGGGAAAGTGTTTGCACACGATGCTGGTCTCCGGATGCATAAAAGAACTCATACTAATTAGAAACCCTATGAAAGTAACCAATGAGGGAAAGCTTCAAATTGCAGTGCTCTTTAATTACATGCAAGAATTCATACTAGAGAGAAACCCTATGAAAATGGAAAAGCATTTTCAATATATAGTGCTGTCCCAATGCCTAAGAGAACTCATAAAAGAGGGAACGCCTATGAATGTAAGCAATGTGGGAAAACCTTTCAACAATACAGTCAGCTCCAGATTCATAAAAGAACTCATACTAGGGGAAGACGTCCATGGTGCTTCTGATGCCATACACTCCAGCGAGACGCAAGCCACCTACCTATGTCCTGAAGATATGAGCTGACACAAAGACATCATGGCTCATCTAATCCTACATTGTTCAGGCAGGCTCAAGCCATGCCCTCTCCAAGCTGGGTGCTCAGATCCTGGCATGGCAGGAAGACATCTGTGGGCCGATTGGAATTCAGTCTGCTCAGGCATGTCTAGTGCAAAGGCCATGATGTGAAGCAAGTTTTCTTGGGGAATCCAGTGTATTAGAGATTCGAGAGTCGTGGTATACCCGCTGAGGAGGGCTGCTGACTGGGAGTGGAACCAGTCCAATAGAAAGAAGTGTGTTGCCACCAACAATGCTGAACAGAGTTGGAGATGGTGTTCTGATGCAGAATTTCGAGTATGACCACCCAGTTTTTTATCTTTTTTTGGTCCTTTATTTTCTCGCTATTCTCCCTTACCTAAACTTTGGAATGGTAAAGTATGTTGTAAGCCATTATATGTTGGAAGTATGCAGTCTGCTTTTTGATCTTGATGTTACAGGGGATTACAGTTAATAGATTACATGATCTCAAAAGAGAAGTTGAACTTTGGACTTCCAACATTGATGAGGCTGTGATAAACTATGGAAACTTTTGAAGTTAAACTGAATATATTTTGCACTCTGATATTGTTGAAACGTTTATGTTGAAACGTCTGTCCCCTGAAGCCGGGATGGCCATGTGGATTCCTGGCATCGACCTCTGGGGCCAGGTAGCTCCACTGTGGGACATGGTGACATAATCGACCCAGATTGCTGCTGATGACCATGTCTGGCTTCATGGTCCTTCCACATCCTAGGCCTGTGTTGAAGTCTGTGGCCCATTTTGCCATCAATGGCGAGGTTGATGTGCAGGGTCAGGTCAGCCTCCTGAATCCAAGTGGAGGCCGGAACTGTGCAGATCTGAGCTGCCTGTGCTGCTGCTTCATGTCATGGTGATGTCTGGGTCAAAGTTACAGCTGAGGGCCATGTCTGTGTCCCTGGCCCTGCTGCAGCAACAGTCTGTGTTGATGTCTCAGGTTCCTGTTACAATGGAAGGCCATATGAATGTCCAAGATTTTTTTCACATGTTAGGGAAGAGGGCCACACTGCTGTACAGACTGTCAATCTGAGTGTCCTGCACTGCCACCTGGGGCAGTAGTGACATTGAGACCTGGCTGCTGCTGGGGACCATATTCTATGTCTGTGCTCCTACCCTAGAAGAGATCTGTGTTGAAGTTCAAGGCCTGTGTTGCCAGCAAAGTCACATGGAAGCCAGGTATCAGGGCTGCAATCTGTAGACTTGTCAGTGACTGGGAGCCGTGCCGCCACCAGAATCCTACTATTCTGAGTTGTCTGTGCCTCTGCCTGGAGCCAAGGTGACATTTGGGCCCAAGCTCCTGTTTTGGCCACTTCTGGGTCTGTGGTGGTGCTACAGCAGAGCTCTGTATTGATGGCTGTGTTCCATGTCACCTCAGGAGACCATAGTCATATGTGTCATGAAATCAGGGCCATGCTGAGCCCTCCCCACCCTGGCCACAGGATAGCTGCTCCTGCCTCTCACTTGACACTTTGAGATCTGGCTGCAGCCCTCATGGGAGAGCTACTTCTCAGCATGGGTGAGCGTGGATTTACTCAGAAGACTTGGGCATCAGAGAGCTGGCTCCACCCACCCCGTACCTAAGGGAGGAATCCCCAGTTGCCTAGATTGACCAACTCAACTGCCACTCAGACCACAGGTACGCCCAGGGTTGGCACATCCGAGCATTTGCACAATTTAGGATCTGCTAGAGCTCGAGAAGGGACTGGTCCTGTAGAGCAATAAATACCCTCAGTGTCTCTATAACTTGGGCAGATGTACAATAACCAAGAGAAGTTTCAGTGAATCCAGTGATGATGTCATTCCAGAAACCAGAGCCTTGAACAAAACCAATGACTCAGTGGAATGAACACCTGCAAGTACAGCTGATTGGAAAAAAGGGTGCACTGTGAAATACCATCTCCAATGCCACCAGGAACAGTGAAAGGGTGAGGGAAACTGGGAAAGATGGAGAAGCGAAGATGCTATTTTTGTTTTGTTTTTGGGTTTGTTGTTTTGTTTTTGTTTGCTTGCTTGTTTTGGCTTGATTTTTAAAATAATTTTCTTTTTGGGGGTGCCACAGGCTGTCTTAGACAGGAAGGTGAGTGGAATGGGGGTTAATGATGATCAATTCCCATGGATTCAATAAAGAAATTATATTTTTAAAAAGACTTCATGCTGGAAAGAAACTCTGTGAATGTAAGCAATGTGATAAAAACCTATGCATGTCACTGTTATCCTCCAAGTCAGTAAGGAATTTGTATGGAGAATGCGGATATTAAAGAAGTTATAGTTAGGGGAACCCATGACCAAAATGGATTTGTTAACATCTTTGGCCAACACACTTACATATTTTTTTTAAAGTTAAAACCCTTCTGTTTTTTATTTATTTATTTTTAAGATTTATTTGTTACATATACAGTGTTCTGTCTACATTCCAGAAGAGGGCACCAGATTGAATTGTAGATGGTTGTCAGCCAGCATGTGGTTGCTGGGAATTGAACTCAGGACCTCTGGAAGAGCAGTCAGTGCTCTTAACCTCTGAGCCATCTCTCCAGCCCCCCACACTTACATATTATTATACAAGATTATTTATTGTGGAGAAAAATGTGACAAGTGTCAACAATCTACTCAAGCACTATGGAGCCCCTCTTCATCCCTCAAACTCATGGTCACAGGTATTGTGAATGTAAACAAATGTGTTCATATAGGATTAGTGGAAACATTACATCAGTAAAACATTGTCTCCCATTCAAATGTAAGCTTTTAGTCATTTAATAGAGGAACATGGGAGTATTTTGAATCATGCATCTTATATGATAATGAAAATGATACTTATCTTGTCATCTTTTGGAGAGATTGTGTTAATTTCTTCTGAGGGCTAGATGCTTGTTCATGTCATTTTTTCATAACCATAAATGAATGGGAATGAATTAAAAAGTCACTGTAAACTTATCCTTGAGTGTCATGTCCACACCATTACACAAGTGTTTATACAAACTTAAAACAGTTTTAAAAGTTTAATTCAGGAATGCAAAGAAAATAATCACAATATTGAGAACATATAAAGTGATTCACCAGTTCAATTGAATGCATTGTAGAATTACTGCTCAACAACACAATGATGGTTCCTGTTTAAAAATTACATTTTTTGAGTCTCTGATTCCAAAGCAGGATATTAAACAACATCTCAGCTGGGCATACTAGTACATGCCTGCAGCTGCGGCACTTGGGAAAAACAAGAGGATCTCTGAGTTTCAGGCTTGCATTATCAAGATAGGAAATTCCAGGGGAACCATGGAGAGATCCTTTCTCAACACAGGATCATGGAAGCTTTCTTAAATAATAATAGGGCTGGACAGCAGGGGAGCCATAGAGAGATCCTTTCTCAACACAGGATCATGGAAGCTTTCTTATACAATAGGGCTGGACACCTCTCTAGAAAATCTTTCCTTGTCTTTGCTCACATTGCAAGAAGTGGGTTAACAATAAGAACTAATTTGGAGAATCCATTCACAGAGGGTAGAAGAAATCCATGGAACCCATCAACAAGCATATAGCAGGGGCTTTCATTCCCTTCAAGTGATAGATGAGGGAAGGAGTAATGGGTATCTTCATCTACTGCATTATAATGATATATACCTTTTGAATTGGCTCAATAGTAATGATGATCCAATTTTTGTTCCTAGCACCCATGTCACATGGCTCAGAACTAACCTCCAAAAGATAAGAAACATTCTTTTGATCTCTCTGGGCACAAGATATAAAATGTTAGAGACAGAGAGACAGGCAGACTGAACTCAATATTGGAAAGACGTTTATTTCATGTGTAATTTTTTTATTAAAATTAATTTAGTTCTATAAGTTTTGCCAGTGTGTATACCAATTGAATCCCTGGTTTCAGTGGACTGGAATGACAGTCAAATTTGAGCCATCCCTGCATTCTGGGAATCAAAGCCAGGCCCTGTGGATAAACAAATCAATGTTTGTAGCTTGTTAGCCATGTACTCGGATGCGCATACAAGCCATTTATTGCAGTAACATGTAAATGGCTGGTTTTCAATTCACCCTAATCAAAAAGAAATATAAGAGCCGGGTGTTGGTGGCACAAGACTTTAATCCCAGCATTCAGGATGCAGAGGCAGGTGGATCTCTGTGAATTTGAGGCCAGCTTGGTCTATAGAGCAATGTTCAGGATAGTCTCCAAAACAATACAGAGAAACCCTGTCTCTAAAAAAAAAATGAAAAAAGAAGAAAGAAAGAAATATAAGGCTAATAGCGTCAGAAGCTAACTTAGACTTGCTGCTTCAACAAATTTTGATTATAGTCCATGAGCTAGGTCCATTGGTTAGTTGTGGATTTCTCCATCTGTTTCTGGAGGATGGTTAAAAATTCTCTGGGGCTATGGATTGTAGGCTGGATATCTTGCTTTGTAATCATACCCACTTATGAATAAGCACTTAACTATATTTCTCTTTCTAGTTTTAGGTTACCACACTCAGGATGGCTTTCTCTAGTTGTTCATTTACCTGGGAATTTTAAGATGTCATTGTTTCTTACTGGAGTAGTACTCCATTGTGTCAATATACCACATTTTCTTTTTCCATTCTTCAATTGAGGGACATCTAGGCTGTTTCCAAGATCTGGCTATTACACATAATATTGGTATGAACATAGTTGAGCCAATGTCCTTGAGGTGTGAATGTGCCTCCTTGGGTATATGCCCAACAGTGGTATTACAGGGCCGTGAGGTAGCTTGATCCCTAATTTTACTATATATCATTATACTGAAAATCGTAGCAGCTGTACAAGTTTGCACTCCCACCAACAATGAAGGAGTGTTCCCCCTTCACCTCCTCTCCAGCATAAGCTGTCATTGGTGTTTTTGATCTTAGCCATTCTGATCAGTGTAAGTTGGAATCTCAGACTGGTTTTGCTAACTAAGGATGTTGAGCATTTCCCTGAGTGTCTTTCTGCCATGTGAGATTGTTCTGTTGGGAAATCTCTATTTAGATCTGCACTCCATTTTTTAATTGGATTATATGGTTGTTTATATGATTTCTAGTTTCTTGAGTTCTTTGTATATTTTGGAGATCAGCCCTCTGTCAGATGTGGAGTTGGTAAAGATCGTTTCCCATTCTATAGGGAGCCATTTTGTCTTGTGTTCTTTGCTTTACAGAAGCTTCTCAGTTCCAAGAGCTTCCATTCATTCATTGTTGCTCTCAGAGCCTCTGCTACTGATGTTCTATTTAGGAATTGGTCTCCTGTGCTTGTGCGTTCAAATGTATTTCCACTGTCTCTTCTATGAGTTTCAGTGTGGATGGATGTCTATTGAGGTCTTTGATCCATTTGGACGTGAGTTTTGTGCGTTCTACTACATGTTGACAGCTAAGAATATCAGCACCATTTGTTGAATGTATTTTCTATTTCCATTTTATATTTTAGCTTCTTTATAAAAAAATTTGGGTTGTCATAGGTGTATGGGTTGATATCTGGGTCTTCTACTCTAATCCATTGGTCCCCCTGTTTTTCTGCCAATACTGAGGTGTTTGCATTACTCTATAGTAGAGCTTGAAGTCACGGATGGTGATGTCTCCAGGAGATCCTTTATTGTACAGAATTGTTTTGGCTTTCCTGGATTTTTTGTTTTATATGAAGTTGAGTATTGCTCTTTCAAGGCCTCTGAAGAATTGTGCTGGTATTTTGATGGGAATTGCATTGAATCTGTAGATTACTTTTAGTAGGATTGCCATTTTTACTGTTGATCCTACCATTCCAAGAGCATGGAGACCTTTTCAATTTCTGATATCTCT